CTCAACATAGTCGACAGCTATTCTAGACTTTGGGCTTAAGAATTCACTCCAATTCTCCAAAGTCCACTTCCACAATGTTATAGGTGTTGGAGTTTATATCTATCAATCTAGACCAGTGGTCTCCAACTTTTTTATATCCAAGATCACTTTTTAAATGTCAGGACAAGCCAAGATCTACCCTATCCGTTCTCCAAGACCCCACCCCTTCCTTGAGGCCCCACCCTCTCTGATCCCCTTCTCTCCACTTGCTATCCCCAGCCCTTATACACTCTCACTGGGCTGAGACAGGAAGTGTGGGCTCTGGGGTGGGAATGAGGGATTTAGGTGTGAGAAGGGGTGAGAGGTGCAAGCTTTGGGAGGGAATTTGGATGCAGGAGGAGGTATAGTAGGGGATGCTGGTTCAGGGAGGGGGCTCCAAGCTGGGAAGTGTTGGGGTCAGGTGGAGGGTTGGGGTGCTGAGCAAGCTACAGGCTTGTGTTTGTGAGGTTGCTAGAGTTGGGTTGGGTGTGTGAGGGGCAGGGAGGTTGGGAGAACAATGGGCTCAGGACACAAATTTGCAGTGTGGATGGTGCAGGAGTGTTGTGGCAGAAGACTGAGGATGTGGGGGTGCAGGAGTCGTGAGAGGCTCAGTGCAGGGTGTTCCAGTATATGATAAACTCAGGTTGGGAGGAGGAGGGGTGCAGGAGTGTTATGAAGCTGAGGCCAAATGTGGGCTTGGCTCCAATTGGGGGCCATGCGCTTCCTGAGAAGTTGGAGCTGGTGCAGTCCCTGGACTCCTACTCCCCTTCCCCCCACTCAGGAAGGCAGCAGGGGGAAGGAAGTCCCCGGCAAGCGACAGACCTGGCGTTTCAAGAAGCACACCAGCTGTTTGGGGGAGGGGGGAGTAGCCCGCACACTTCCTAAAACTCCAGATGTGGTGCACAGCTGTGGGACTTCTCTCCCCTGCCCTGCAGGAAGTCAGTGCTACCTCCATTGTAGCTGGAGGTAGCATCAACGGGGGCGGCTTCTTGGGGGTAGGGAGAAATGGAGGGGGCCCTCACACCTCGTGATCGACTGATTGAGCCCTTCCCCCCTGATCAACCAGTCGATTGTGATCGACAGATTGGTGACCACAGCTCTAGACTTAGTGATTTTTCACAAGAACAATTTCATAAGTAAATTTTTAATTATTCTTAAGCTTGTGTCAAGATTGCCAAAAGATTGTAAGATTCTGTCTTAAACGGTTTGGTCTCGTGGCTTCTTGCACTGGGTAACTCTACCAGCCAGAATCTTGAATGAAAAGAGAAAGTGTTGGTTGAGACTGCATCTAACAAGATTGTCATGTAGGGTCACAAATATAGGGGGAATATGGTTATCCAGAATGTTCTGAGCCTCTGTAGGAAGGGCTCTCGCATCACTCATGCTCTTTGAAACAGCCTTCTAAATGGGCATGAGTAGGGCAGGACAGTATTTATCAAGGCCCTGGGAAAGGATATTGTAGTAACTGATATGAAAGATGTTGAAAACTTGGACCAGAGTTTTAACTTTATGGATGGATAAGAAAGGTCATATTTTAGATGTTATGCATAAAGAGTTAGCAAGATATATGGATTATAGAGAAAGATGTGAGTTAAAGATGGTATCTGAATGTGAAGGCAGGATGATGTTCACAGTCATTTGAGAGAGGACCTAGTAGGGGAGGACTTTGGGGGAAGAGGTCTTGTTTCTAACAGTTCAGTAGACCAGGTTATTTTGAATGTGATAGGCAAATTTCTGTTTTGCTCGACACATCTGGTCTTGGCGAAGAGCTTATTTTCCGCTCTACTCTGTGCTGGTTAGGCCTCAATTGGAGTATTGTGTTCAGTTCTAGGCACCGCATTTCAAGAAAGATGTGGAGAAATTGGAGAGGGTCCAGAGAAGAGCAACGAGAATGATTAAAGGTCTAGAGAACATGACCTATGAGGGAAGGCTGAAGGAATTAGGTTTGTTTAGTTTAGAAAAGAGAGGGGGGACATGATAGCAGATTTCAGATATCTAAACGGGTGTCATAAGGAGGAGGGAGAAAACTTGTTCATCTTGGCCTCTGAGGATAGAACAAGAAGCAAAGGGCTTAAACTGCAGCAAGAGAGGTTTAGGTTGGACCTTAGGAAAAAGTTCCTAACTGTCAGGGTAATCAAACACTGGAATAAATTGCGAAGGGAGGTTGTGGAATCTCCATCTGTGGAGATATTTCAGAGTAGGTTAGATAAATGTCTATCAGGGATGGTCTAGACAGTATTTGGTCCTGTCATGAGGGCAGGGGACTGGACTCGATGAACTCTCGAGGTCCCTTCCAGTCCTAGGATTCTATGATTCTATGCCTGTCTGTGTTCTTCAGAAGCAGTGTAACTGAAGACTAAACAGTGAATTCTGTTCTGTTCTTGAGTATCAACAGAGTTTATTTAAAATAGTTTTTACTAAGGTATAACTAAGAGTAGTAGAACTGAAGTTTGATAGCAGTAATGTCAATCACTAAGAATTTTATATCTTCTGTTACTCTTCTCCTGTAGTCCTGAGATTTTGTAGATCTGTTTCATAGATTGGATCATCCTTCCATTTAATGTTCCGTTTGCTCCGTTTACCCCTATCTTATTTCTGTAGAAATGAGAACAACTTGGCAGCTTCTAGAGCTGTGGTCACCGACCGGTAGATCGCGATTTACCGGTCGATCTCAGGGGCTGTAAGAGTTGCTCTTGAGCCCTCTCTGAACTGCACGCTTGCGCAGTACATTTAAATTTTATTTCCTCATTTGAGGAGCAGCTACTTACCGAGCAACAAAACCGAGGCGAGTAGTTGTGTGGAATGGTAGGAGCTGGGATTTTGGGAGGGCTAAAACACCCTGGCCAGCTGACTGTGGCTTTCAGCTGAAAGAGGCTGCCCTGCGCTCCAGCTGATCAGGCGGTTTCTCCTCTGCGCCTGCCCACGTGGGGCGCCATGGCGTGCCACACTCGTGGGCAGGCGCAGAAGAGAAGCTGCCTGATCAGCTGGAGCACAGTTCAGCCTCCTCTGGGCTGAACGCCACAGCCAGCTGGCCAGGCAGCTTCCCCTCTACCCGAACTCCCTGCCCCCAACCTTGTTCCTTCTCCCCTGTCCCAATCCTGTCCCCTACCTTGTTCCCTCTCCCTTGCCCCTCCGCCCCCCTGCAGAAACCTGCCCCCCCTGCCCAAACCCGTTCCCTCTGGCACCCTGTCCCCCTGCCTTCCCCACTACAGAAACCTGTTACCCCCAGCACCCTGTCCCCTGCTGCAGAAACCTGTGCTTCTGGCACCCTGCCCCCTCTCCCCTTCCCCCACTGGAACCCTGTTCCTTGCCCCAGAACCCACTAGCACCCCTCCCCAGTACTGTGTCCCCTTCTCCCAAATGACTTTTCTATGGGTCAGTGATCACTGATTCAAGGCGGGTTCTCTGCCATTCTCATAAATAAAGACAATGCAGAAACTTTTTGGCTACGTCTACACTGGCCCCTTTTCCGGAAGGGGCATGTAAATTTCACTAGTCGTCGTAGGGAAATCCGCGG